AATCCCTTCATTCTAAACAGTGAGTCATTTTAGTTTTGTCTTTAATTAGCCATATACTTCTCTAGATTTGATCTAGCTTATAAAAAAATGCACAAACATATATAACATGAAATAAACTGGATCATTCATTAGATATATGATGAAATACATTCTAATGGTTTATTTATTTTGTTTGATACTGTTGATGTTAACTCGAGACAAAGGTAAAAAGGACTTACAATTTAGGACATGCTTGGATGGCTAGTCAATGTTAGTCATAATCCCTGGGCCTGCCGGTTTACATATACATTGTCCTTTTTTATTTATCTACTCTTGTCAAAGCAAGTTACTTTGGCCGCCAACTAGGCTGTCCACGTCATCCTAAAATCCTTCAGCCGTTCGATTCTACGATCGACGCTCCATATTCACTCCACCGATCGCTACAGCGTAGAGCCCCCTCCATGAAAACATCACCGTCTCTCCCCTCCTCGTCCCAGATCGCAAAAACAAAAGGATCTCCTTCGTCTCCCTCTCTCGGTCTCTCCCGAGGCCGCGGCCCTTCCTCACGCGACCCGCGTTATATTTCATGATTCATGATGATGTGTCGGCAAGTAAAGCTATGGATCACCTCTCTCGCACGACACCATACTACATACACAGATTGTGCTCGTACGGCATATATATCAGCACTTTAGTCTTTATTAGGAATGCACTAATAATGCCACGATATAAATAGAGCACGTTCCATCAAGATCGATGGCGCACAAATCAGGTCAGGTGTCATCAAGTGTCAAACAAGACTTGGCACCTAAGGTAAGGCACTACTAGCCCCAGCTGCTAGCTGGAGGCCTCCCAGCAAATTGAAGACGGCTAGTAATGGAATTAATTTGTCAACTAAACTTTGTAACTATAAATATCACTTTAGCCTTGCATTGTCATTAGTCAAATTTAACTAAATTTGACCAAATTCCGTGAGAAAAAAATATTTACATCTTCTGGGTCAAATAGATGCTCTAATTTGAAGTCATGGATGTCAGAGTATTTTGCAGTAGACTTAGATAAAATTAGACGAGCTTATTTGTAACACCCTAGGCCCGGCACACGGCATAGGCCCACTCTACCTAGGGGTGGGCCCCACCTACGTAGCAACCTGTTTGCGTTTTTGTCCTCGCTTCGCGCAAAATGATTAACCAAAGGTTACTACGCGTCCTTAGCCTAGCTATTTAAGCTGGATCGACGAACTCATAACGCATGATACGTAGCTACAGTGTTATCCAGAACTACAGCGTTTTGATTCTACAGTAACCAGAATTCGGTCCGGCCCACCTTGGACCAATGGGCTGAGTCTCACATTATTAACTTATGACAAAACTAATAAACTATAATATTTTTGAAAAGAGAGTTGGTCATTAGCTTGCTCGTAAAAAAAAACTGTGTTTTGCCCTGGACCTGAATTGCCCGAGTAAAGCAGACGTGATTTCGACGAGAGTTATAAACACAATCTTGAAAGAGAAAAATAGTACTAACAAAATAGTCTAGCCGAATTTGAAGGGAAAAAGGTTAGCAGAAGCCACCTGGAGTTGACACCTCTCAAGTCTCAAGCGAGAGCAAAGTGATTAGCGCGACGAGCCCACTAAATCCAATACACTTGCACTTGGGGCATGTTCGGCTGGTATTAAAGTCGGCTGATAAGTCGACTGAGCTGTTTTATTATGAGAGAAAAATACTGTAGATTTTAGTTGATAAGTCGGCTGATAAGTTCAAGTGAACAGGCCCCATTCGCGTCGTCCCACGTGTACACACGTAACTTTCTTTTATATATAATCATGATGTCGTTATAGGCCCCCTTTGGTGCAGCTCCGGGCGGCCCGGGCTCCCTCTGCTGTGCACTGTTCACGTCCCTGTGCGAACACTGTTCATCAGAGCCGATTTTCTCTCTCTTCGTTTCCTCTCTCACAGAGCCATTCTGAGAGGGAGAAGCTCATTTTCTAGGCTCCTCCAGCTCCGGCTACAGTGTCGCTACAGTGTAGGAGCCAGAGCACGCGGAAGCCTGGCCAAACGGGGCCATAGTCATGAAAGAAAACCAAACATAACCCCCTATCCCAAATAAATATAACCAACTTCTAAAATTATCCTAAGCCGAACTATCTTGGGCTAAAGTGCTAAATCAACTTTATAGTGAAGAATGTATAACACTATTTATGACACCAAATAAGTAGGTTATGAAAAAAATTATAATGTATCTAGTGACACTAATTTGATGGCATAAATACTGATGCTTTTATATAAATTTTATTAGATTTAAAATATTTTAACTTAGGGCAATTCTAAAAAAATATTTTACTTTGGGACAGAGAAAGTATATACAAGGGGTCACTTGGTATAGGTTAACTGACGAGTATTTGTGCACATGTACCCCGTTGGCAATATTAGCTATAAGTTATTATCTAGCTAACTATTAGCTTAGTTTAATATTAGCTAACAATTAGCTAAACTATTAGTTGGATCCGTCCGAATCCAAATGAGCTAATTATCGGCAGCTTACTATTAGCTGCTTGGAGCCAAATAGGATCTAACAATTATCGCAATTAGCCATATATTTGGAAAGAAGGGTGGAGCATTGCAACGTGCCTTGCTGTTGTGTTCGTTAAGTGCCATCATGTCATGTGACACCTTAATGGCTTTAGTCACGTATTGGAAAGAGGACACTTGTCGACTTCTCATAATGTGAGCTGTCCTGTTCATAAATAAATTCCAAAGAAACCCAAACAAGGAAGGATCGGAGGCCAATAGCCGGAGATGAACAGGTCAGACGTGGGACCCGGGTGTCATCCTCCGTTACTACTACGCTATACCTACGCAGTTTCGGGACCAGACGCAACGGGACGCTGCAGGAGCGGGACCATCGTCTTACTACTGAGCCCGACCCACGTCAGCCCGGGAGCTAGCTAGCCGTTGGGCCTTGCCGTCATTTTCACCATGAAGCACGTAGCCCCGCCGCGCGTCGAGCCGGGGGTAAAACGGGAGAAAAAATAGAAGGCCGAACTGAAATCCTGCTAGAGCTGTGGTGTCCGTTTGAGTTTGACCTCATGCGTTCTCGGCCATGCTCTGCTCTCCTTGCGTGCACACCGCTACCCAACACGAGGGGCCGCGCTGTCTCCAGGACCTGTGGGCCACGGCTGCCGTCCCATGCCGTCCCATGCCCATCGCCCGTGAGCTGTGTACGTGTGTGAGATGGCCCAAGCCTTTCCCCGAGCCTGTGTCCCACGCCTACACCTCTCACTGTCCCCGTAATGGGAATTATGCTCCGCGCACTAAGACCGCGGTAAAACGAGTAAACTCCATTGTTTACTCACCACAAAACGGACGTGCTACTATGATTTGTTCAGACTAACTAACTACTTTGGGGTAATTCCATATATGCGAACGCCATTCGAGGTGCAATTTTAACCTATAATAATTACCATTAACCTATAATCCTATATCAATCAGGGCATGTTTGCTTTTGCTCTTAGATAACATTGCTTGGTGTTCGTACTCCGGAGTGTTCCCAGTTGTCTGATTTTGGAAGCCTGGAGCTGGAATCGGTGCATGGTGTATGTGTTGTCTAGAGGCTTCGAAGCAAACAAAGTATTATTACATGTAAGATCACACCCTACGTGGCATTGACTAGCTTTGGTTGTACAAATTAAAAAAACATCCCCCCTCACGTAATTTGTTTCCCTTTTCATGCATTGCTTCTTTTACTCTATGCATTTTAACCTTTTTCAAGCTGTTGTATGAAAAGAGACAAATAAGGTAGATCAACCACTTGTGGATCATGTACCTATCGATACCGTTCGAGAAAAATCTCTAAGATATGTCTCCATTAAATTTTTGTCGTTTATGTATATGTGATCATATTAAACTGCCCGGTCTATGACCTTATATGTGCTAAATGTCTACATATATATTGTGTGTCTACATATATATCGTGCTTCCCCTGCACCAACAACCCTTGTTAGGGCGTTCCCGACAAGGGGTGACATCGCCAGCGGCCAGCCTGCGTCGGACAATGGATTTCGCGCATAAAAGGTAAATAGTAATATTTTTTCTATAATAGGCGCCACGGAACCCCCTCTTATATCTTATATATATAAAAGAAGATAGTATAGCTGACCAAGTACTCCCGTCAAATATAGGTCACCCAAGCGTGCGGGGTGCCTCTAGCAGATACGCCGTCCGGCCATCAAGAGCAGTCCCCCTTGTCTTTTTACAGCTGTTTTTGTTCCGTTTCCTCACGCCATTTTTCCCGATGAAAGTGTTCGACTGTCACTTATATAAATCGGTCTTAAGGTATAATACAGTATTTTTCTCCATCAAATCAACTAAATTAGTCATCATCAGCGGCAGCGGCTTTACAGACAGCCGAGCATGCTAACAGAGCCGAATCAGTCATCAGTGTAGTGTGCAAACTTTATTGTGTGCTTGCTTGCTTCCCTTGTACTGTCGGCCCTTTTCTCCACCTCCCCGATCCATCCATCCATCCATTACCCAGCGGATCCTTACCCAGCAAGCAAGCATTGCCTCCCCTCTCCCCCGGAGCGGAGAGCCGGCCGGCCGGCCTCCCATGGCTACCTCCTCCCGCTCCGCACCGCGCTGACGTGACGCCGCCGAGGGACCGAGGAGCGAAGACCTCCAGCTGGAGGAAGAGGATTCGGAAGAGGAAGGAGCGGCCGCGCGCCCTTCGCCCCGTCTTGCGTCGTCGGGGGGCCCGGCCCTTCGCCGGCGACGACGAGCACCCACCACGTACGCCCGCCACCTCCCCCTCCCCTTCCTGCCGCACTCCAAACCCTAATGTAAGCTATTTCTGTTCGGATCCGATCCACTCCCCAGTTACCGTATATCATACTCGCGAAAGCATTTTTTTTTTTTTTTTTTGCAAATTCTTCTCCCGCCTCTGGTTCTCTATCTTAGTTACTATGATGACGGTACCGACGCGACGCGACGCTTCTTCTGTGTAGGTTGCTGAGGGAGCAGAGATGTCGACGACTGGCGAAATCCTGCGGGCGGAGCTATCTTCCAGGACACCGCCGTTTGGCCTGAGGCTATGGATTGTGATTGGCATCTGCATCTGGGTGGCGATCCTGTTCATCCTAGGCTTCATGTGCTTCTGGTCCATATACCGGAGGAAGCCCAGCAAGTCGTCCTTCGACAGCACCATTACCATCCCGGTGTCCCAGATTCCGGACGTCTCCAAGGAGATTGCGGTGGACGAGGTGCGTGAGCACGCTGCCGTGCAGAGCTTCCATGTGCACGAGAGCAGCTCGCTGGCGGTGGCAGTGCAGGAGAAGCACTGCGAGAAGGATTCCGGGAAAATGCTGGGCCACCTGGTCAGGAGCAAGTCGAGCGACGCGGATAGTCTGAGCCAGTGCAGCTCGGCGTACCAGTGCGAGAGGGTTGCGAGCTCGTACTCTGGTGATGAAGGCAACTCGGGCAATGCTATTGCTAGGAGGCAGTACTCTCAGTATCCGACTGTCTCCGCGTCTCCGTTGGTTGGTCTCCCCGAGTTTTCGCATCTCGGATGGGGCCATTGGTTTACTCTCAGGGATTTGGAACATGCGACGAATCGGTTCTCCAAGGAGAATGTCATTGGAGAAGGTGGATACGGGATAGTTTACCGGGGTCGACTCATTAATGGGAGTGATGTTGCAATTAAAAAGCTTCTTAATAATATGTAAGAAGCTCTGATGATTGTTTTTACCTTAACTTTCGTATAGAACCTGAAATGGTCTCAGCATTTTGATAGTGTTTGGTATGTCACTGTAGGGGTCAGGCAGAAAAGGAGTTCAGGGTTGAAGTTGAGGCAATTGGGCATGTCAGGCATAAGAATCTTGTCCGCCTTCTAGGATATTGTATTGAGGGTATCCACAGGTGAAGCTATTTCCTGATCAAATGCGCTAATTGTTTGCAAGCTGTTGTCTCTGCTACCATATATATGTACTTCAATACAATGACTACTGATCCACATATAATTGCACCCTATGTTCATGTCCACATATAATTGCACCCTATGTTCATGATCAAATGTTGAAGCTCCAACCCTTACGAAATCTAGCGCTTGATCACACTTTGAGAATGCATCTGCCTTGGTGCATTGATTCAACTGTAACATTTCAGCCCTCGAGAATTTTATCCGATGATCATAGTAATCATTGTTATGATTTACCTAGCTTGCAACCAAGCCCTCAGTCAAGCATTCTCTCACTTTGCTTGACTGTTTTCTATTTGTTGAATACCATAATAAATAGTTTACAACTTATGACCAGCCTTTTTTTTTTTGAGAGGTATGACCAGCCTTTTTAGTACCCAATAGAAGTGTACGTCTGTTATTGATCCATCACCTCGGACGTATTACTTCTATTATTCATCAGTTTGTGTTGCGCTTTGTTCTTTACATACCTGCTGATGCATTTATGCTGTGAAACTTGTATGGTAGCTGTTATAGTTTGGCACAACATGGTAACAGATGGTATTCTTTTACTGGACGGAAGCGTTTTACGGAATGGTTCACTGAAATCTCATAATGTCTCGTGCCCCATTCTTTCTTTGGATATATCATTGCTCGTGGTGCTTTGAGAGGAATACAATAGGTCTTTGGCATTCACAAGCCTTATAGGTCTAACCAATGCATTACGGGCCTGTTTGGTTCCTGGTGTAGCCTGGGGGTGCTCTCCCACTCCCAGGCACGTCTATCTGGCCGACTGGCACTCAGAATTGACGGCCTGGGAGCTTCCTACCCAGGCAAATATGCCAGTCCCCAAACCAAACGGGCCCTACATCTGTAAAACTAGGAGCGTGAAGTATGGTACTTAACAACAGTCCTTAATTAGAAGCCAAACAGCCATGATTTACTGGCCTGTCAACATCATCATATTATACCTCTAGAAGCTCTTGTTCGCCAACTTTTGCGTTAATGTCTGATATAATGCTAAGAACAACTGTGCCTAATGAGAATATAAGTCTTCATAACTTCAGTTGACAACATAAGCAGGTTTTCTAAAGATAATTGATCATTTAAAACTTTACTGTTCTACTTGTACCTGCTACCGCATGTCACTTGGCACCCCAGATATGCATTTTTACTTTTTACCTAAAAGTAAAATAGTGTACATTTATGTTAGTAATCTGAAAATTGCTGTAAACCACTACGGTATTTCTTTTTCCATTTGATCCCTGTTTTTTTGTTGCTGGCTGATAGTTTGTCTGGTCCTGGTGTAGGATGTGTTGGTTGTGTGTGTTAGGAGTGGGTGCCCCCACCCCCCCCCTCCTCTATGTAACATCTCTTTCTTAATGAAACACAGTTCCCCTGTTTGTTTGAGAAAAAAAATCCGAATTGAAGAGAGCTGAGTCATGCTCCTTAAATTTGACTTTCTATCTCACTGCTGGCCCACTGATTCAATGAAACCTTGGCAATTATATATTTTTGTGAGGTGATGCTATTAGAGCCTTTTTGTTTTCTCCATCTAGGTTCAACCTGATTAAACATTTAAAGTGGACACCATTCAAATCTATCTGCTTCATACTTCCTATGGTTATTTAATCCATCTGAGCGTTCTCTTAATCATATCCTGTTATTCCAGGATGCTTGTGTATGAGTATGTGAATAATGGGAACTTAGAACAGTGGCTTCATGGTGCAATGCGTCAGCATGGTGTTCTTACTTGGGAGGCCCGGATGAAAGTCATTCTTGGAATTGCCAAGGCGTAAGAAATGACCCATTCATCATTTTGCATCTTTTATATGCATAGGTTTATTAATGTAAGATGTTTTCTGTAACTGAACAATATACAGGCTTGCTTATTTACATGAAGCCATAGAACCAAAAGTTGTACACCGTGATATCAAATCGAGCAATATCTTAATTGATGAAGAATTCAATGGCAAGCTTTCTGATTTTGGACTGGCCAAGCTCTTGGGTGCTGGGAAGAGCCATATCACAACTCGAGTTATGGGAACATTCGGGTATGTTTTTTGCATGTTTTTCTTTATGGGAACATTCTCTGGAGTAGGATTTTTCTTCACTAACTGGAACTTATGGTATTCACATGCAGTAGGGAGTTTACATATTTAGAGCTTTGTTTTCTATTTTTTAAAGAAGACTTAGCTCTGTACAGCTTTGTATGGAAACAGCCATTCATCTTTTATTTCACTACTGTTTCAGGTATGTGGCTCCTGAGTATGCCAATACAGGTCTGTTAAATGAGAAGAGCGATGTCTATAGTTTTGGGGTGCTACTACTGGAAGCAGTGACTGGGAGGGATCCAGTTGACTATGGCCGGCCTGCTAATGAGGTGAGCATCTGCTATTGTCGCATGCATATGCTGAAACAAGAAGTCCATACTAGTTGCCATTTGTTTCACAGAAAACAGTATCTGCTTGCTAGGAGGACAATATGCTTCAGGTGTATGTATATCTTGGGTTTATGACCTAGTAGCCCTTATGGCATTAGTACTTTTAAATTTATGCTTGGAGCTGTGTCAGATCTGAATGTTGATCAGCTACAAGCCCTATAACATGGTGGCTGTGCAGGTTCATCTGGTGGAGTGGCTGAAAATGATGGTCGGCACTAGAAGAACCGAGGAGGTAGTGGATCCCGACATGGAGTTGAAACCAGCTATTCGTGCTCTGAAGCGCGCACTTCTAGTGGCACTGAGGTGTGTGGACCCAGATGCTAAGAAAAGGCCCACTATGGGTCAGGTTGTTCGGATGCTCGAGGCAGAAGATGTCCCGTCACGGGAGGTTTGTACATCTTGAGCTTTGGTCCATCGATACAACTACTCCATAATTCTTGCGCAGTAGTGCTAAATCTTGTGCTGTGGTCTGAAGGACCGCCGGAGTCGGAGGGGCCACAGCAACAATGCAGATAACGAGTCCAAAGCAAGCTCAAGCGAGTTCGAGATAACCAGTGATCGAAGAGAGTCAGGACCGTCATCGAGGTTACAGCCCTAACTCCCAGTGAGAGAGCACAGCAGATCTCCATGTTCAAGAACTCGGTTTCAGTTCAGTTCGCCAGGTTGTCTATTGCCTGCGCACTCATGTATTCAGCAGGCTGTTCAGAAGGTTGACCTATTTGTGAATCTGCGCGGGTTTTCACACCGGTGGGGCTTTGGATGGTTGGCATGGTTGATACTTGGGCGCTTTGGATGGTGGCGGTGGGCATAGTTGGTACTGATAGAGATAGGAAGGACATTGCATTTTGTACTGTAGGTATTACCTTTCCTTGGTGGTAGCCAGAGTAGAGGGCAGAGTTGGATCGATTGAGACTTGTGGATCCTATTCGTGTTCTGTTTGTCCAGCAGCTTGTACAGAAACTTTATTCTCTGGTTCTTGGTTAGGACTCATCGTCGAGTAGAAAAAATGATCCGCTCTTTCCTCATGTGATGAGTGTGGCTTGAAGGTTGAAGCATTCAACCTTTTCGTATTCGTTTCCAGTGGAGTTGATGTTCTTTTATGTGTATTTTCTGTAAAATTCAAGCGAAACAACTAGTGTCCGGACGTCTGGCCCAAAGACGTGTCTGGACACAGCTCGGGGCCATTCGATTCAAGGAACAGGAGCCATCTGATCTCAGCGCATAAGAGAAGAAATGAGCGCACCCCCGCGTGACTCGTGGTGGCCTGTCGCGACACCATCCCAATATGCGTGACTCGTGGTGGCCTGTCGCGACACCATCCCAATATGCGTCATCAGCATCGAGAAGGAGGGGAGGGGGTGGCGTCTACCTGCGCCTCTAATTCAGATGCCCAGTCGGTGCCGAGAGAAGATGGAGACGCCGAGGCGAGGCAGACGAAGGTGAGGAGGAAGCGAGATGCAACACCCAATCCACTTTTGAAAACATTCAGATACAACATTTGCAACATAGGTCTCAAGACAGACAAAACACTTAAAACATGTATATGAAACACTTGCAAACACACCTCAAAAACATTGTAAAACATACACAATAGCCAGATAAGACACTTGCAACATGTGTGTGAAACATATACAATATCCAAATAATCACACGTGCAACACACATCTGAAAAAACAAATAAAACATTGGGAACATAAGCTTGCAACATACGTGTACAATCATTGCAACATCCAGTGTTACTTTTGCAACATCCTTATGAAACATTTGCAATATATATATATATAATATAGGTTTGCAACGTGCGTTTTTCATCTTTCTTCTTCCATACGACGCAGCGCAAGCGGAGGACGGGCAGGCGGAGGGCAGCGCCGTCGCGGCCCCTTTTGGAGGCGAGTAGAGGGGGCGGCAGGGATAGGCCGCCAGCGAGCTTTGGCCAGGATGCGGTCTGCCACCGTCGCAGGCGGGAGGAGAGGAAGGTGGGGACATGCCGCCACACGGGCTGTGACCGGGTGAGGGACGGGAGGAAGGGGCCGGCCGGCCGGGCGGAGGCACGATAAAGAGGCCTGCAGGGAGCTCTGGCCGGGCGGGGGATGGGAAGATGGGGCCGTTGGCAGGTGCAGCATCCGGCAACGGGCGGAGGCAGCGCGGGAGATGCGCGAGATGAAGGCGTCCCAGAGAGTGATACGAGGGGACCAGGATTTTTTTTTTACGTTGTTATCGTATCATTATCGAAATTCAAGCGGACGGAAGGACACTGGATTCTAGTACTAAGTGCTGACACTGGCAGAAATGAGAGCAGGTCTGCACTGGCAGAAATGAACGTCACCGGAACTCAATTCCGGCCGCGAATGGCGCACGGCGGCGCGGTGCGGCGTTGCGTTCGCCGCCGGCGCCTGCCATTTCCGTGGCCTGAGGCGCAGGCATGGGCCTGATTCTTTAACTTGTGGGCCGGCCAAGTAAAAAGACCACTTGGGTTGGGGCAGTACCACCATTGCGCCATTTGAGATCCCGGAAATATCTTCCACCGTCTCGTCTCGTCACGTCTCCTCCTCACCCAGTCCAGTCCCATCTGGCCTTCCGCTTAAACCCCACCCCACCCATCGCACCCAGCCGAGAAGAAGCCCTCGCCAATCGGCACCCATGGCCGCCACCGCCGCCATCCACCTGCGCCCGCTCCGCTCCGTCGCCGTCTCCTCCGCGAGGTCCCGCTCGCTCCTCCACCTCCTCGCCCGCCCCCTCTCCTCTTCCCAATCGGGATCGTCCTACGCCTACCACCCTTTCCCTACCCCGGCCGCCGCCGCCCCCAACCACGTCCACCACCCTCCCCACCAGCAGCAGCAGCAGCAGTGGGTGCCGCCAAGGAACCCGCCTCCCCCCGGGGCCCCTCCACAGTGGTCCCCGCAGGGACATCCGCCTCCGCCGCCCCGCGGCTATGGGCCTCCACCGCCGTACCAGCATGTGCCGCCTCCGCCGCCACGCGGCTACGGGCCTCCACCGCCGCACCAGCATGTGCCGCCTCCGCCGCCACGCGGCTACGGACCTCCACCGCCGCACCAGCATGTGCCGCCTCCGCCGCCACGCGGCTACGGACCTCCACCACCAGGACAGCATATGCCGCCCCCGCCGCCGCGCGGACCCGAGCCTCCACCACCGGGACAGCATACGCCGTCGCCTCCGCCTCCGCCGCCACATGCCCACGGGCCTCCACCACCGGGCCAGCACGTCCCTCTGCCTCCGCCGCCACACGGCCACGGTCCCCCACCACCAGGCCAGCATGTGCCGCCGCCTCCGCCGCCACGCGGCCACGGGCCTCCACCACCGGGACAGCATGTGCCGCCGCCTCCGCCGCCGCACGGCTACGGGCCTCCACCACCGGGACAGCATATGCCGCCGCCGCCACACGGCCACGGGCCTCCACCACCGGGACAGCATGTGCCGCCGCCTCCGCCACGCGGCCATGGGTCTCCACCACCGCACCAGCAGGCGCCGCCGCCGCCCGAACCTACGGCGGGGCCTGGGGAGCTGATGGGACTGTGCCGGGAGGGGCGGGTGAAGGACGCCGTGGAGCTTCTGGCCAAGGGTGCGCACGCCGACCCGCCTGCGTTCTACGAGCTCGCGGCCGCCTGCTCCAACCCTAAGCTGCTGGAGGAGCTCAGGAAGGTGCACGACTTCTTCCTCCGCTCGCCCTTCCGCGGTGACCTCCGGGTCAACAACAAGCTGCTCGAGATGTACGCCAAGTGCGCAGCCATGCCCCATGCCCGCAGGACGTTCGACAATATGCCTGACCGCGACATGGACTCGTGGCACATCATGATCGACGGCTACTCGGTCAATGGGCTTGGGGACGAAGCGCTGCGGCTGTTCGAGCTGATGAAGGAGTGTATGGCACCCACCAGTCAGACCTACCTGCTTGTGCTCAATGCTTGTGCCAACTCGGAGGCCATCGAGGAGGCGCTCCTTTACTTTGATGCCATGTCCAGGGACCATGGCATTGAGCCTGGTGTGGAGCACTATGTTGGGATCATTGAGGTCTTGGGGAAGTCAGGGCATCTCAATGAGGCTCTGGAGTTCATTGAGAAGCTGCCTTTCGAGCCCAATGCCATGGTGTGGGTGTCGCTCTTGAACCTGGCCCGGATGAACGGAGACATTGATCTTGAGGACCGGGCAGAGGAGTTGTTGGTGTCGCTTGATCCGTCCAAGGCAAACCCTAAGAAGCTCCCAACCCCACCTCCGAAGAGGCGCCTGGGAATTAACATGCTTGATGGGAGGAACAAGCTAGTAGAGTACAGGCTGCCACCAAAGATTGAAAAGAAGGTGGTCAATGAGCAGAGGTACGTCCCAGACACAAGATATGTGCTCCATGACATTGATCAGGAGGCCAAGGAACAGGCATTGCTGTACCACAGTGAGAGGCTGGCAATTGCTTATGGTCTGATTAGCACCCCAGCAAGGACTCCACTTCGCATCATTAAGAACCTGAGGATATGTGGGGACTGCCATAATGCCATCAAGATCATGTCAAGGATCGTTGGTAGAGAGCTCATTGTGAGGGACAATAAGAGGTTCCACCATTTCAAGGATGGAAAGTGCTCCTGTGGAGATTATTGGTGATAATGGATTAAAGTCGTTCTTCTCATCAGTATTGCTGCCATCCTTTATATGGATATATATGCTGGCAGCCGTGGTTTCAATTGATAATAAGCAATATGAAGGTATCCAATGGTGGTGCTAGTAGTTTCTCATCCTTAAATATGCTTATTAAGATCCTTAGCTGCAGGCACTTGTATCATGCAAGGTTATCACTTCTTGATGCACTAATCAATCCTACTCTTCTCTGTATCAGTATCATGTGCTAGTTTGGAATATATAACTATATGGTTGTAAGAGCTGATTCTTCCTTGCTTTAATTTGGATGAATGAACTAAAATGAATCTTATATATATTTGTGCACATAAATTTTATTTTCTTGTTTGATTATGTGCAGTCTATGTTGTGATATGCTACTGGTCATTTTAATTAGCATTTTTTCTGCTGTCACCATTGCTTGCCCACTAAACCAGAGTATCTAGTATTTTGCTTCAGCTGAACAATTTCTAGAGATAGTGGGGGCAACCGAGGGCAACAGTTTTCAGGGTTTCACCCTTAACCCTTTCTTTTCTTTCCCCCACTACAGGTGTAGTAGGACATGTTTATGAAACAGTAACAACTTGAAGCTGGCAAGTTAGGCTTCATGAACTTAATGTTATCATTGCTCAATTAGTCTTGTTCTTGTATCTGAAAGTGTTCAGATTTGTTGGCATAATAAAGAATAAAAGATGCTGCTATTTGTCTAGCTGTGGATCAGCCTCTTCAAGCAATCATGGCATCAATATATGTTGACCTTTATACCGTGCTGCCATCCTGTATGGATATATGTTGAAAGCCAAGCTTTCAATGCATAAGAAATGTTAAGATATCTGATGCTGGTGTTAGTATTTCCTCATCCTTAAACTTAAATGCTTGGAAGCATCTGTATGTATGCATAAGGTCCTTAGCTGCTAGGACTTCTATCTGCGCAATATAATCACTTCTTGATGCACTACTTGATCCCTACAGTCGTCTGCATCTATGTTATGGTTTTGATGGAAATAATGTGCTAGTTTAAAATATAACCAGTTGGTTGTAAGAGGTTCAATTCTCTCTCTTTTGGATATTTGAACTAGTAAGACTAGTTTTATAAATTTGCATAAAGCACATATTCTTTTATTGGTTGTGTGAAATCTACGTTGAGATCAGCATATGATGTCCAGTGGACTAGCATTTCCATTGCTTGGCCACTTGACCAGAGCATCTAGTCCTCTGGCCACTGCATCAGCTGAACAATTCCTAGGGGCAGTGGGGCAACTGCAACCATCAATTTTTAAGGCAGTGCTCTTTATTTTTGTCTCCCTCGTTAAAGGTTGCTCCACTTCTTGGTGCTTTACTTGATCCCTACAATCCTTCTCCGCATTGATATTATGGTTTTTGTGGAAATTCATGTGCTGATTCAGAAACGAAAACATAATTTTATGGCTGTAACTGGAAGAGGCTTAATTATATCTCTCTTTAGATTGATGAACTAGGAAAATCAGTCCTATACATTTATGCAAAACACATTCTTTTGTCTGACTGTGAAATGTATCCTGGAATCAGACAAATCAACATATGCCCTTGTTTCAGTAGACTAGCAGTTTTATTGGCCACCATTGCTTGCCCACTTGACCAGAGGAACATCATGTCCGCTTCATCAGCAGAACAGTTCCCAGAGAGGGGCAACCAAGACAATCAGTTTTCAGTACAACTATTTTAGTTTCTTTTTTTTTCCTCAGTAAAACCAACACATCTACTGTTTGTTCTGAGATAAATTCATGAAACCACGAAAGTTGAAGCTGACAATCTAGAAGGTTTACCACTCATTAGCTAAGATTGTCACTGGTGAAGATGTCTTGTCTCGTATCTTGAAATGGTTCAGGTTGGTGTAACCGTTGGTCAGTATGTTGAAGGGGCACAGCATTCTTGTATTAGGGCTACTTTACTTGTTTTATGAGCACTCTTATGCTCTTTTTTATTGTTAGCTTAGTTAAAGATTAGGGCTGCTTGTTTTATGAGGCATTCTTAGGTTGTTTTTATTGTTAGCTTTGTGACTTTGTCAGTTGTGTTGAACTGGAAGTGGCTAATTTATCTTATCTCAATGTCTCTACTCCTATTCAGTTCCTGTGAAGATTTGAGTTGAAAACAATTCTGCAAATGAGTATAGTTTTTTTTTCCATGTGTGATACTACTAAGAACTTTAGGAGGAAACACTTCTATCCATTTCTATGGAAACAATTTTAGGATGTCTCAGCCCCTGAAGTACCTGAAAGCAGATACCGGTATCCAACTCTTGATTGTTTTTCATCATATTGTGTTTGCTGCAAATATAACACATGTACACAAAGGTCCTATATTGGTGAATGTCATTACTGCAGTCAAGATGTTTGTTTTCTCGTAGTGTTGCTTATTTGTTAGTCCATCCAGTCCTATATTGGTGAATGTCATTACTGCAGTCAAGATGTTTGTTTTCTCATAGTGTTGCTTATTTGTTAGGCCATCCAACCTGAAATGTGTCATGTGCCATCACAACATTGATTTACTCCATGGTACATGTGGAGTGGTGGAGGTAATAGTCCATGTTGCCTGATGTTAATTTGATTCACATACAACTTTACTGTTTTAGTAATCACTAACTTCCTTACTGCTTTTCTTGATTGCTAGGCTCTCCGTAATTTACTGGGAACTGACAACTGTCATCTTTACATTATATTATTAGTTATTACACTTACTAGGATGCGCAGCATCTTGTGCTTTTTGGTACATACAGGTATACAGCTTAGTGGCCTGTCAGCTTCAGTTAATGCTTAATCCCCAAAGGTGCATATAACCAAGTGGTGTTTACCTGGATCTGAGGACCGCTGATGCTTGTTTATCTGAAGTAGGCCTTCTGAGTCTCCATGTTCCGTTGAAGAACATGATTACATGCCCTATCCTTTTGGCAAATTGATATGCAGTGTGTTTTGAACACTGCTTCTTCCTATCAGGCTATCAGATAGTGTATTTGACAGCTGGTTTGCTTCTGACAGAAGGTATTGGCAGACCCACTTTTACAGAGTTTAATCGAGTTCGGAGGAAAAGGGTCATAGTTTATTTAACAAAGTTACCTGGTCCGCTGTCACTGATGCAGAATGATGGGCGCATACGAGACACTGATGATCCTAGAAAAGGGACAGCCTGTGTATCTATTCTGAAGACAGGGTAGAACGACATGATGAGGTGAGGTGGTGCTGGTAGGATTGTGGATCTAACGATGTCAAGGAGGTGCAGTGGCGTAACAGGAGATATGATAGAGCGCTGTCGGATCGGATGAAGTGAACTGCCTGCTGCGGAGGTGGCCGCCGGAGAACATCCGGAGTTGAAAAGGGCTGCTGGCCACAGTTCACGATAAGTGTGTTGGCCGCCCCCTGATCTTTTTTTATTTCAATTTCAATTCGCATGCAGTTAGCCTGGTAACATGAAGAGACTTTTCCCTGTGTGCCATTATAAGAGATCGTAATCCCCTGTGTGCCCCTGGAAAAATTCAGCGGTCTTCAGCGCCACTACTCCAACTTTTTGGGTCCTCCATGTCACTTCCGTCGATTCGAGGCTCTACTTGCCGTCAAAAATGAGTCAAAAAGCGAAAATGCTCTTAAGTTCAAATATGTTATTAATTTTTTGAGCATCTTAACGACTTCAAATGAAAAACTCAAAACTAGAAAGTTGTATATCTTGTCGAGATCTATAATTTTCATATAAAAATATTTTCATTTAATTCCACAAAAAAAATATGATTTGATATGATTAATATATCTTAGAAAAATCATCATATTTTTTTACGGAATTAAATGAAAATAATTTTTATATGAAAATTATAGATCTCGACGAGATCTATAACTTTCTAGTTTTGAGTTTTTTCATTTGAAGTCGTTAAGATGCTCAAAAAAAATTAATAACATATTTGAACTTAAGGGCATTTTCGTCTTTTCACATCTGTAGTTTGACGGCGTTAGAGCTTGAACTGACGGAAGTGGCATGGAGGACCCGAAAAAGTTGAAGTAGTGACGCTGAAGACCGCTGAATTTTTCCAGTGGCACAGAGGGGATTACGATCTTTTATAATGACACACAGGGAAAAGTCTCTAACATGAACAGTGCCTGATCGCATGATTGGTATGTACGAAAGAGTGGCCGTCGTTTGTGTTTGAGTTCTTGAGTCACCTCATCGTTTAGAGAAAATTGCCTTTGGTTGTGTAGAGTAAATTTACTCTACTATATGCATCTTATACCTTTGTGTAATATCAGAAGAATCTATCTCATCTATTGTTGACTAAAAACATATATCGGCCCTCATCTCAGAAAGGAATGGTTTTAAGTTTGTGTATAAAGCAATCTGGATGTGATGCTTTGGTGTCCTTGACTGAAAAGCTTAAATCCTCATTCTGTCGGACCGCTGGTAGTGTTAGGTGTTTGATTTTGCATCGCCAAATATAGCGGTGGTATGAGAAGTATTAAGAGTAAATTGCACGGTCCTTCAAGGATTCGGCGGTTCTTATTTGGATCCTCAAATTATGAAATCGTACATTTGGCTACCTAATGTATTTAAGTGATTCCATCCAGGTCCAAAATAGATATAAGAAGGGTTAGAAGCTGACGTAGTCATCCACGTGGACATGATTTGAACAGAAAACCCATGAGACATGCAATGTCCCCATCGGTGGTGGCTCCCACAAGCCGTGCCCCATGCCTACGCTTGTCGCGAAGCCGGCTGTCTCCTGCACGGCCGTGGGCGGCGCGGCATCGCTGGGCCTCGGCGTCGACTTGGGCATGGCCATGGGCGCCGGCCTCGGGCCCTAAGCGTCCTCGTAGCAGCCACGGGTACACGGCGTTAACCGACGGATTCTTGTCGGCGACAAGACCTGCATCCATACGTCCCTCTTGGCCTCACGGACACGCGCAAGCGACGGGACGGCTCTGAGGTGCTCATCAAGACTTGGTCGGCCACCCGATTGAAGCGAAGGCGGA